ACGCGGGCTGGCGTCAGCCCTCGGCTTCTGTTGCAAGCTTCACAGCTCGCCCAGCATGGCACGTGACCCTGAGAGACATGTGACAGGCGCTTGTGCAGCTCACGGCGTGTCTCCGGATCTTGTGATATGATCAGCTCTCCCTGCCCTGCTGCTAAACCCAAACCGGCCGGACCCTCTGGTTGCGTATTGGGCTCCTTGTTGTGATTCTTCTGGTTGAGGGGGTCCTCTTCCTGCAACGGGGCAACAACAGCAGCGGAACTGAAAACTGAACATGGCTGACCGCAGAACTCACACGAAGCGTGCACTCTAGAATGTTTCCATGCATGCTGGTGCGTTGGCAAAGCAAAAAGGCCATTATTTATGGCGTCGGGCTTCGAAAGCTGTGAGACGATTACGGGGTCGGGCTGCGAGAAGATCTCCTTGGCGGAAGTGGCGGCGGGTTGATAACCCACATTCCCGATGGAGGTGCCGGTGGTGGTGCCAATGGTGGCCCCAGAACGCTCCCCGTTGGGCTTGAAGTAGGCCGGCTCACGGTAGGAGCAGGAGGCGGGATCGGCAATGCGGTGCGCGGACGCACTCGCCGAGATTCTGTGGCCATCTCCGCTGCAATCCTCCAGGAGTCTGCTTCTGCCTCCGTACAGATCCCGAGCCTCATCCTCGTGTGTAAGCTCTCGCCGCTGGGCGAACTCAGCACTGCACCCGGAGGTGGGTAGCTGCGCGGCACCCACGAATATGTTGGTGGAGCCGAAACCGGTGGTGGCGGAGGTGCCGGAGGCGGCACACTCGGCGACACATTGGGTGGCGATGGCGCTTCTTGCTCCATCCCTGTGTCCTCGGCCATCTCGGTGTCCTCCTCCGCAGGTGCCTCCAATGGCGCCGTCTTGGGCGGCGTCTTGGGCATCATAGACCCGAGCCCCTTCGGATCCACCGACTTGGGTGGTGTCTTTGGCTGTAGATCCCCGCGGCCAGCCTCAGCTGACTTCCAGCCACCCCAGTTCTCCGAGTCCGTAGGCGAATTCGGAGGCGTCCACCCTGGTGGTGTCTTGACAGGTGAGGTGAAAACGGCCTGAGCTGCCACTCCCTCGCTCAGTGGAGTTAATGCCCGCGCTCCCTCCAGTTGTTGGGTCGAGCGCTGCTGAACTCCCAGAGTGTCTGGCCAAGGCCGCCCCCTGGCCTTCACCCGTCGTGTCTCTGGCTCTGTTGGAAGCACACGGCGTTCCACTGCTCGCGGAGGCTCTGATGGTTCCGCCCAGATTCCCGGAAGTGCATTCCTGGATTTGGCTGTGGCTTCCGAGTTGTCCTCTGGCGGCAAAGTTGAGCCACCCGCCTTCGCCGGTTGGTTGCTGAACCAAGCCAGTTGGAGAACTAGCTCCCTCGCCTTCTTGATCTCGGGCTCGGCCAAGTCCGGCATACGAAGCTGGATCATCATATCGATCCTTTCGGGATCGGAAAGCCTGTCCGGTAGAAGCCTCAAACCAGGGCGGTTCCTGGCGATCCACGACTTCATGTGGTGATTGTGGCTGTCGGACATTAAATGAGCCTCCGTCGCGTGTTTCCCGCAGATCATGCAGTACTCGCAGTAATTGCGGTTGTTGTGGCTCAGGGCCTGAGGGCTTGACCACTTCCCCTCTGGGGCAATATAAGGAGGGGTCCAACTGAAGCTGTTGACCCGGTCCGCGAGGCTCACCCCAGTCGCCTTTGGGGCAGGTGGCCCCCCTACCTCCTCGTCGGAGGATATCTCCATTGCTTCCGCCCAGCCTGTCCAGCCCTTCTTCGCACTGGCCTTCATCAGCTAAACCCTTAAGGCTCAAGCTTGTGCCTTGGCGATCTGCGGAAACCCCCTGTTCACCTACACTGTCGCTCGAACTGCACACACCGTCATGCACAACCGACCGACCAACCAACCGACCATGCACGCCAAGCAAACGCTCTTCAGAATCACTGCACGCAGGTTGCACTACAGAAACTGGCTGCACTGAAGATTCACTAAAACCCGGCTGCACCCACTGGCCTCGATCGGAAGATGTGGTCCCCGAGCGCAAAGGTGAAGAAGATGGATCCACGGCACTCGATTGCAAAAGCTTTACCACTCTAGCAGGCAACTGACCTACCAACTGCACTCCAGGGCTGCCGCAAGACGATTGACCTACCAACTGCACTCCTGAGCTGTCGCAAGACGACTGACCTACCAACTGCCCAACAGAGTCCTCGCAAGCATGTGGCAAAACACTCGGTTCAACATGCGTTGTTTCATGCTGTTGTCGTGAAAAATCATGCCCATGCTGTGAAAAATCATGCTCATCGTGCGAAAACTCATGCTCATGCTGTTTCTCAGGTGAGGAAAACTCAAGAGACCTACCACTCGACAGACCGCAAGACGACGAGACACTCGCAAGCGTGAGCTTCGCGGAAGAATCAGCCATCACACTCTGAAGCCATGTGCAGTCGCCGAACACTGCTGGGAGCAGCGTCACCTCCTTACGTTCCGCTGTTAAGAGACCCCGGTAAAGGGTAGGCTTCCAGCCTCTCCAACAGAGGAGGTTGAGGTTTATCAGGTTGTGTTTGATTTCGCTGCTAACTACCGCTTCTAGACGACAGGTGCACGCAAAAGTGCTCAGAACTCCTCCTCGCTGCTCAAAGTGTCGAGTGGTGAGAAAATTCACCTCGATCGTCGCGTGGGTGTCGCTTCCCACTTCCACCAGGTCGCCAGTGGCAGTCTGGCACACAGTCTTCGGTCGCTTCTTTCTCGACAAAACCTTGACGTGTCCACTCTCAAGCGTCGCCTGGGAAACCACATGGTACGAGCTCCCAGAGTCGAGAAGCCAATAGATCTTCTCTCCCGACTCAACGAAGGAAGGTGCGACCATGGGCATCGCAAAGTATGCTCCTTCAAGGAACGTTCTGACGCCCTTCTCTGTTCCCTTCCCAACGTCGCCCTTCGTAGTGGGCTGGTTGCTCGGCGCCTTCGGCGCAGCCTTGGCAGCTGCAGCGCTCCCCGAACTCTCAGCAGCGCCTGTCGTCACAGTGGCGTTGGCCTCGTGGGGGGAAACCGCAGCAGCTTGCTTCAGCCAACAGTCGCGGGCCCAATGTCCCTTCTTCCCGCAGTTGTGGCAAACGTCGGTCTTCTTGGCCTTGCTCTTGGCACGTGCAGCTGAACCCTTTCCGGGCTTCTCCTTCTCCTTGTTGCCCTTGTCTGCTCGCTCTCCTTTGCCCTTTCCTTTGTCTTTGCCTTTCCCTTTGTCTCCTTTGCCCTTCTTGCCTTTGTCGCCTTTCCCTTTGTCACCCTTGTCGCCTTTTCCAGCACCGAACGCGTTCAGGTAGCCGTGGTGGTGCTCCTTCTGGAAGTTTAGCACTCGAAGCTGCTCGTCGTAAAACTGCAGCCCTTGCAACATTGCATCCAGACCGCTGGTGGTCTGGTGCAACAAAAGGTACTTCTTCGCGTCCTCGTCCAGGTGCTTCAAGACTCCCAGAACAGCTTCTTGCTCGTGGACCTTAAGCTCACGGTACTTCTTGCCAACCTGAGACTCAAACTTCATTGGACTCGTGTGCCACGCGAGCACTCTTTTTTGACCGAGGCAGCGGTCATGATCAGCGCACCGTGGACACGCCACAGCACGGGTGAAAAGCCAGGGGGCCTACGAGGGCCAGCCGTCTCCTGGCATCTCTAGGCCTTTCCTCACCCGCGGGTGGTAGGCCATGGTAAAAGGTGAAACTGCACCGCGGTGCGCCTCCCTACTGCACCGCGGTGCGGGGAGGGCACGGGCGGGAAACCAAAAGCTACGCGCGCATGACGTCCAAAGCAAATGTCATGCAAGGTGCGCGCCGTGGGTGCTCCTACTGCATGACAACGGCCCATTGGACTCGTGTGCCACGTGAGCACTCTTTTTTGACCGAAGCAGCGGTCATGATCAGCGCACCGTGGACACGCCACAGCACGGGTGAAAAGCCAGGGGGCCTACGAGGGCCAGCCGTCTCCTGGCATCTCTAGGCCTTTCCTCACCCGCGGGTGGTAGGCCATGGTAAAAGGTGAAACTGCACCGCGGTGCGCCTCCCAACTTAAAAGCGCTCCCCACTAAAAGTGAGCGAGAGCGATTGCCTGCCTCGCGCAGCGTTACGGCTTCAACAGAAGCTGGCGGCACTGCTGCACGAAGTGAGGGAGGCGAGGGAGGGCAGAAACAGTAAGCTGTTGCTGCACCAGCAGTGCGCGGGCTTCATCTAGGTAGATGCGGCAGGTTTTTTGATCCTGCCATCTTCCCATAATCATGGTAGCTTCAAAATTCTGTGAGGTTTGCCAGTGAAAAGTGGCACCTCCTCGGCGAAGGCCGTAGGGGAGGAAGGTGCCTTCTTCCAGCCCCAGGAAGACTACCAGTTTCTGGAACCTTGCCCGAAAAGCTTGCAACGAGGAGTTAATTATGGATTGATCAGTTGACCACGATGCCATAGCTGCAGGCAGCACTCGGCATAAAAAAGGGTCGAAGAGTGAAACGCTCTGCGCTCTCCCTCGGGAGGTCTTAGTGTGTGGCAAGGCTACCACCACGTGCCCTGAGCGCAGGCAGGAAACATCTCTGGGTCGCAGCCCGTAGATTTCGGCAGTACGAAGAAAAAAGAGAAACTGGATGAGAAGTGCTACTGCTAGCCTTTTTTGACCAGCTGCAAGGGCAGCTCCTGCCATGGCTTGCACCATGGACCAAGGGACTGGCGTGGCTCTGCAGGGCTTGTAAACTTTCATCCAGTTGGAATAAAGTTGCGTGGCAGTATAAAGCCTCGACCGCAGTCGGGGGAGCAACCGTTTAAGGGCTGAAACGGCAGCCCCTGCATACCCAGGTGAGTCACCCTCTTGGAAGGATTCATTCATGAATTCCCCAAGCGCTGAGTCAAGGGCTTTCACCGTGTTGGGCAGCTCTAGTTCCTCTCTTGTAAGGAGGGCAAAAAAGCGGAGCAGGGCACGGCGGTAGTTGGCTCGGGACTTGGGGTTCAGACCTTGGAACCTAAGGTGGAGCTTAGGAGCCATGGTGAGGAGCAAATCTCCTGGACGCAGTATCGGCAAAATTCCATGCCGAAATGGTCCATAGCGCTAGCGCTTGAAGTTGCGCCGCCAGCAGAACCGCCATCATCCGTCGAGCCAACCTGTTAAGCCGCTTGCTGTGTGCCCTGCCTTTTGCCATGATGTGATACACGACCTGGGAATCAAGGATGTGGAAGAACCTTGTCCCCTGTGTATTCAACTGCCGCGCACGGCGTCGGATCTCAGCTAGAGCTGCCAACATCTCCAGCGTGGTGATGTTGTCCTCGTTGTGCCAGGCGAAGGACAACGTGTTGCGCCACCTCCAGAGGTGCGCCGGGTAGGGTACCATCTTGAGGTTGTCTGGCTCACTCGGAGCCATGAGTCGAACCTCGGTACCTTGATAGTGCCCCCGGCTAAGCATCCTCCGCAAATGCTCCAGGGGATCCTCCAGGATCTCCCGGGCAATGGGCGCAATCACCTCAGAAGCTGCCTCCGCCGCGGCGGGTGATCTGAGGCTCGAGGAAGCACCACGCAGCTGTGCCATCAGCTGCCAGTCCATGGTGCGATCTGTGAGCTTCCCGGGAATGAGAGGGCAAATCTCAGCCAGGTCCCGCTTTATTGCCAACGCCAGGGCGTCACACAGGTCCCCCAGGAGGCGAAGCTCCTCGCAGCAGGCGAATCGTATTCGCCCTGTGCTGTCGTACCAGCCCTTGTGCTCTTCTTCGTGGTCTCGGCACGCGGGCCGGTGCAAAGCCTTGTGGACCGCCGGGGAGTTGTGCAGCAGCTCCACCCATCGCTTGGGCCCACCAAAGCAGCTCAAGGGAAACGAAGTGGAGAAGATCCCTCTCGTCTCCCTCAACTCTTCTGCCTCCGGGAAGTACCAGAGATAGGAGTCCCAGGGCTGGCACACGTAGCAGAGGGAGTTTTTCTCCACGGCTCGGGTCAGGGACTTCAGAGCCCTCAGTGCGACAGCCTTGGAGAGACCGGCCACTCCAGTGAGATGCCCTCCTGACCTGAGGGCCGGTGGGGCATCCACCCATCTCCCGTTCGGTAGCTGAACTTGCTCGCCACGGCCGAGCCCAAAAGTGTTGAAGGGCGGACTCCAAAACTTGGCCGCAACCAGTGGGTCCGCCTCCATCTTCTCAAGCTTCTCTTTCCCAGCCGGGCTCCAAAAGTCATCCTTGTCGTTGATATTGGGCCCAAAGGCGGTCAGGACGGCCACCTTATTCAGGGCCATGGCCTCTGTAAGAGGCTGCCCAGGCTCAGGGAAGAACTCAGCAAAGGTGGGGCACAGATAATCCCTTCTGGCGCATCTGTGTTCCCTATGCTCGGCGATACACCAGGTGGAGCAAAACGATCTCCCACAGGAAGCCGGGCAGGGATAAAAGAGCCCGTGCGAGCCCCAAGACTCTTCTCCGCCGCAGCGGGCACAGACTCCAGGCTCATCCTCTTCCACTGGTGCAACGGCGGGTCTCCGGGCTGTCTGGGCCACGGCCGCGCCTCCTCCCCAAAGGGATGCGTCGGAGCAGGAGATCTCACCAGACACTCTGGCCCTCAAGGAGGTGGGCAGTAACACGAAGGTCAGCATCTCGTCGATGACCTGTGGGTCGGGATCCACCGCCCCCTCCTTGGCCCTTTCGATCAGAGGGAAGATCTCCTGAAACACGGCAAAGAGCTGCCTCCGGAAAGCGGCCACAAAGGTCGCTATCCCAGCCCACCTCCTCAGGGCAGCTTCCGACCAAGAGGAGGAAGCAAGGAGGCCCAAAGTGGCCAACACCAGCTTCTCTGCTTTATCGCTTCCAACTGAAATCGTCCCCTTGTCTCCGTCAAGCACCCCTCCCTGGATGCCACCTCTGAGTGCACCGGCGAGGGACTTGGGGGCGTTGAGGGGAAGCCCCCTCTTTTTGCAAGCTGCCCTGAAACGTTCATGCTCCGGACTGGCGACACCTTCTTCTACTGCACGCAGCGTGGTGTCGACCATCCGCACCTGGTCGAAGGAGTCAAGGTAAAGCACGGCTCCGCCCTCAGCGGGTATTTCCTTGACCTTCGAGATCTCCAGGCTTTCCGGTACCCCTGCCTTGTCAAACACAAGGTTCCTAAGCACCGCCTGCATGTGATGGTGACGGCGGAGCTCCACCCCATGGGGATGACACGCAGCCCCGGCCTGACCCACTCCTCGTTGGACCCCATTATGTGGCCGGGCACCTTTTTGGCGTAGGAGAAGAAAGGATGGGAGGAAGTCCTGGTCTCCCGGAAGGGCCTCCAGGTACTCGTTGATCGGCACGAAGTTGCTGATGAACCTCTGCATCGCGACCTCTTTGCCGCCGACCAGCTTCCTCTTCTCCACAGCCCCCGCTCCATTCGTGATGAGGTGGCCTTGCGCATCGCGGGGGACCGCGCTCTCGTCCACTGGACCCATCATGTTCCGCTGGAAGGCCGCCGAAACGACCTTATTCCATTCCTCCTGGGAGGCATGAACCTTACCTCTCTTGGAGGTCCTTGGTTGGTCGCTTCCCCTCTTGAAGTGAGGCTTCGGCGAGATCACTGCCTGGAGGGCGTCACCGGTCAAAAAGTCAGTGACGCTAGCGACCGCCGCCACCAACGTTGGGCCAGGCCCCGATCACCAGATCTGCTTGGATCTCGCCCACTCGCTCCACCATGTTGCCTTCATAGTCGCGGGAGCGACTAGAGAGGATCTTCTTGGCCACGGCCGGTCCTCCCAAAGGCAAGCCACGGCCCAAGCACCCGGCGCATACCTTCGCGATCCCTTTCACCGCCTCGGCCTGCCGCGGGGTGACCTCTTCTGGTGGAGGCCAGCACACAGGGCTGATCCAGCCACAGCAGTAGTGGAAGTTGAGGGCGTGCAGGGTCGTCTCAAGCACCACCTGGGAACAGTTCTCCACCACCTCTATGTTGCAGGTGGCATCCACATGGATCGGGAGCAGGTCCGGTTCCCTAGTGGGCTCCGCGCCCGGGGGGGCTGCCTCGGTCTCCTCCATCCTTCGGAAGAACGAACCAAGAGGAGTTGGGAACCGCCTGCCCTCGTTCAGGAACCATTCGAGAAACTGCTCCCAGGTGGGCTTCGTACCCAAAAGGCGGCGGACCGCCGCCTGCAAGTGGCTAAGGTTCCACCACCCTGGCGCCGCGTGCTTGGCAGCATGTTCCAAGGAGTCGCGCAGGGTATCCTCATCTTCACTGACCCCAAGGGCCTCCAACAGATCATCATCCCATTCCTCCTCTTGCCCCAGGCTCATAGCCTCGGCCGCAGCCGGTGTAGAGCCCTGGGGCGCACCCCGTTCTTCTATGGTCGGGTCATCCGCCGGGACCTCCTCCTCTCCTTCTTCTTCTTCGTCCCACTCTTCAGGAGTATCCCCATCATCGTCGGGGCCTTCCGGCGGGTCATCGTCCGGCGGCTCGCCGCCTTTGACCTCCTTCTTGACCTTCTGCTTGGGCTTGGTCTTCGGGGGCTTCCTTGGGGCTTTTCCAGCCTCCGCCGCAGCGGGCTCTACTTTTGCCCCTTCTTTCCTTTCGCCCCCTTTTTGCCCTCGCCCTTTTTGCCTTTCTCCCCCTCGGGGGGCGCGGTCCGGAGCGGAGGCGGCTCGCTTTCGTCCGGGCGGGCGTGCCATTGCCCCTTGCCCCGGCCCCAGTTCCGCTGGCCCGCTTCCTTCACCTTTGTCTCCAGGGCCAGCTGGCCATCACCGCCTCGTCGGTCTCCATCAGGAGACTTCCTTCCCGAGGCACCAGCTCCAGGAACTGCGCTTTCAGCCAGTGATCGTCCGGCAGCGAGGCTTCGATCGCTTTCACTCTTTGCGCGAGAAGGTCTGCGGCGCGCCGCGCTTCCCCTTCGACCACCAGGTCCAGCGCCTTGCACAGGGTCTTCAGTTCCCTTAAAAGGCGAACTCCCACTTTTGCCCTGTACTCCGGCACCAGGATCGTGAGGAGGTACCTCGTCGCCACGGTGGCGCTGGGTCTCCCCGAGCTGCGAAGTTTAGCGCCCCCCCGTCCCGTGCGAGCAGCGTTCGCATCTTCTGCAGAAGACGAGCCGACAGCCGCCCCGGGTACCTCTCCGAGTACTCCAGAAGCTGCAGCTGTCGGTCGCGAGACGAGGAGGCTTCGCGAAAAGACGAGTCTGAGGAAGACCCATCTTCGCCCAGGTCGACCTTGGCTCCTCCACCAAAGGGCCCTCGGTCTGCCTTCCGGCCACCCTCTCTGGACCCGCTCCTCCTCTTTTTCTTCTTCTTTTCCTTGAACGAGCTCTGGTCCTCAGACCGTCGCCTCCTCGGACTGCGGCCCCTCTTGGTCTCCGACTCTGAGGAGACGCTCTGGTGACCTGGCGGGTCCAGCCAGCGACGCCGCTTCCTCTCAAGGGCGGCCTCCGCCTCCGCCGCTGGCCCGGAGCTTCTCTCCCGCACACGGGGTTCTTTGGCGCGTCGCTCCGGTGAGCGATCTCGGCGATTCTTCCGCTTATCCCTCCGACCCTGGCCAGGATCTCTCAAATCTCTGGCCAGGTCGTCGAGTTCTGCGGCGAGCCCCGGAGGCTTCGCTTCCGCGCCCGGGGGGGCACCCCAGGAAGGTGCTGCGAGACCTTTCTCTCGCTCTTTCTTTCCCCCCTTTGCCTCAGCCGCAGCTGGCGCTGGTGGCTGGCCACCCAAGCGATCTAGCTCCCACTTTAGATCTGCCGCCGCAGCGGGTTGGGTGAGCCACGGAGGCTGCTGAGAGGTCCCGAGCTCCGCAAGGGGGATGCTCCGTAGGGATTCAAAGTGGAACTCCATGTCGGGGTGCCCTTTTGATCCCCTGCAGGTGGCAGGAGATTTGGCACAGACGTGGAAGGAGAACCACCTCTGCTCCGAAGAGCCCTCTCCATCATCCAATCACCATTGCAGGTAACCATCAGACACCGCGACGATGGTACCTGAAAACCATTCCCCATATCGGCTGGGGTTCTCCCGCTCCTCGATCCTCACCAACCCCATACCCTGCGGGTGGCGTGATGAATCGAGGAGCTTCAGTTCGACATAGTCTCCGCGCGCAGCGGGCAGGGCATTCCATGCCCCCTGGTCCTCCCTTGGAAGGAACCAGGGCCCAGGCATCCTACCCTACCCTACCTCCGCGGTCATGCTTAAACCAAAAGCTACGCGCGCATGACGTCCAAAGCAAATGTCATGCAAGGTGCGCGCCGTGGGTGCTCCTACTGCATGACAACGGCCCATGGGCTCAGTCATGTACCACCTCATCACATCAAGTGGTCGCTTGAGGTGCTTGGGAGGGTGAAGATTGATCATCTGCTCCCTCAACGCTTGGCCCTCCGCCCTCGAACGGACCGAGAGCTCTCGGTTGAGCAGGCGCCAGAACTCGTAACCAGCACTTGCTCCTTTCTGAGCAACCTCGATCAGGTGGATGAGGTCCTGGGCTCTTTGAAACTTGCTCAAACTCTGGCGTAGCAAGAACCAAAGCTTGCTGGACCGTGCTGCCTTTCCGACGTCCAACGTACTCTGCTGAACTGGGACGGCGCTCTGCTCTGACTCGTCCAGCTCTTCTGCGAACCGGTCGTCAAGCAAACAGAGCCAGCTGGTGAGCTCCTCCTTGTAAGCACTCCAAACCCGAATCTCAGCATGCCTCGTGTTCATCGAGGCAAAGTTCAGCTGAGGCAGGGTCGGAATGTAGCTCTCTGCCCTCCTAGAGCGGATTCCCGTGTCAACTTCCATTGGCGCGGGACCAGAGGTGTCACCCGAAGAGCTTGCAGGCACGGTCGCAGCTGCACTGGCACTTGTCTGGCTGGCGTTCTGGACACCAGGTCCTTCACCAGGTTAGTGAGCTGCTGCACTTGGGCCGCTTGAGCCCTGATCTGCTCGTCCTGGGCCTGCATCATCTGCCGAAACAGATTCACAGTGTTGTCGTCAAGGCTTCCAGGGTTCACTGGCAACTGTTGAGGCACAGTTGGCGCAGGAGGCTGTTGTGGTGGCGTTCCCAAACTGAAGTACTGCGTCTGGTGCGCAGCCTGTGCTGTCGGAGTCTGGCCCGCAGAGGCTAAAGGCCTCAGGTCTACTCCGGGACGGTGTGCAGAAGGGGAGTTGGCTGCCGGTACACTTCTCGCATAGCTCTCCCACTCGAGTCACGGCTCCTCCCTCTCGGAGAGCGGTCTCTCCCTGCTGCACCACCTGGACCATGGCTTGCCATGGCTCTGGAGCACGAAGCTCCGCTACCACGTTAGTTTCCGAGGGACCTCTAGGGAACCTTCGGGGCCTCTGGGCCTCTCACACACAGCACTCAGACAGAGCGGGCACGCTCCACACTTTTCACTCTGCTGTTCTTCAGCAGTCCGAGTCTTGAGCCAAGCCCGGCACGGCTTGAAGCTTCAGTACACAGCTCTCTGGACTTCAAACACTTCACAGCTCGTGAGCACTAACAGCGAACTTGGGCTTCAGCTCTCTAAACACTAGAACTGGCTCCAGATGCCTCTTAGGCATCACGCTGTAGCTCTGGCGAAAGCAAACAGGCTTGAGACTCTTCACAAACACTCCAAGCGTCCGCAAAGCTCACTTTGAGGTTCGGGCGGGACGACCGACAGGCGGACCGACCGACCGACTAACAAACCGACAAAACAAGGTTTCGAAAACATGCGAAATGGTTTCGTACCAAGCTTTCACCATACCAAAATAAATCGTACTCACAGGACATGCAAAAACAAGGCTGTACAAGATTTTCGAAAGCAAGTGTAAGTGCTTCAAATCAACAACTGGGAACCTTAGGAGGTCACACACATCAACTGCCACGATTGTAGCCATGAGCGCCGAGCTTGCAAGCTTGGTCGGCGGTCTTATTTTCCAGGGGCTTGCTTGGATCGACTTGATCGTGCCCTTTTGGGCCAGAGCCTCAGTGGCGCCTGCAACCGCATCGAGGTCCACCATGCCCATGGGAGAGCAGACAAAGTTCCAGGTGTCTCAACTTGGACTCTGCTTCTATGCGTTTGGCGGCTTCGATCGAAGCTGCAGAGTCGGTTCAGAGCCGCGGTAAGCCGCAAGCTAAGACGAAGTCTTTCTCCGAACTGTGTCTGGCAGCTTGTCTGGATGACTGCTTCTCCGAGACAGGGCAACTATGTTGTCTTACACTTGTCGATCCACTTTGCTCTAAAAACCTGCGCTCCGCGTGAAAGCGCCTCGGTCCCACAGATTTCTCAGCTGCTTCTTGCGTGCTTGCTCGACTGCTTGGAGTCGAGCATCTAGCAGATCTGTCACCTGTCCCACGCGTTCCACTCGCCTTGATGGTGGGTGAGTGGCAGGTCGGCTAAGGCAGTGATGTGCTGCCACACCTGCGCTCAGTGAGTGCTCCGGCAAGGCTGGGCCCTAATGAGCTAAACCACTGAACTGTGTACAGCGACTCATCCGGAAAGGCAGAATGCACACAACAAGCTGACACTCTGCATTGGCCAGAATGGCAGCTGAGAAATTCACTGCCCTCCTGTTGCCTCTCGTCGATCACAATGACGTGCGCATTGTTTCCAAGTCCTGCCGCCTTGTACTGCTGCGGTAAAGGGTAAACAGTCGAAGCACGTGTCAATTGTTTCAGCATTGCCAGTGACTCTCCACAGCGTCCATGCAGACCAGTGCACACTATAGAGAGAAGGTTTTGGAGACCCATAAGAGCGGCTAGAATGTGCAATTCAGGCGGAATCAAAGTCGCAGAAAGGGCAAGAATGCTTTGTCTAAGTGCGAAACTGGACCGGTGTCAAGTCAGACGAAGCTAGAAAGTGAGATTTTAGGCGGAGAAAGCACAAGGTTTGCCAGCGAAGTGGCACCAAGGCCACAGTGCAGGTTGGATGCACAGCTGGACGGGTATGCTAGGCCAGGAGAATACGCGCCGCATTTTCAATACTTGTAGAAATACGTCTAATGCTCTCCAAATTTAACATACGACATACTGTGCAGGCAAACATAGTCATGTTGCGAGGTTCGAGACTCCGCTCTTGCGGTCGATTTCCTCCAGTCTGCATCTCATAGCGAAGCGATTCACTTCATGTGGGTCCAAACTTTCCAAAAACCGCGTTTGCGACCACTTCGATCCAGACCAAAACTGCGTCGGCTCTGGTTTTTAACCAACTTAAAACCATCCAACTTTTGGAGCCACCTTGCCACTCTCCATCCAGAGCCGTTCAAAACCTTCAAGTCTTGGTGAAATCCGAATTTGGAGGCTTTGTATGACGGCAGTGTGCGCCGTCCGGTGTGTGCGACCAAACCCTCACAGATCCGAGATTTACGATTCTCAGCCCAGATGGCCCTTTGCAGCCCCTCCGCAGTTCGGCAAGACAAGAAAAATCCAAATTTCCGAACTTCCTCTTCGCGCGAGAATTGGCGGCGGACACTGATGGCTCTCATCAGCCGAAGTGCACTTCGTTCAGCTGGGCTTGAAGAGGGCTTTGAAGGGGGGGGGGATGAAGAGGGGTTTCGAAGCCTTCAAAGTATGGGTGCTACATTGTATTTTCTTCGCAAACGCCCCAAAAAGCGATTTCGTGTGGCTTCTTCTTCTTTTGTGTTTGTGTTCATTTGTTTTGTTTCATTGATCCCGAATGACGGGATAGATGAAGGTGTACCACCCGAAGTGGACCCTGTTCTGCTCCTGGAGTCTTTTAGGGACGCTAGGGCTTCGGGCACATCCGTCAGCGAGGCAATCACTTTGGTCGCCACCGCTTTCGGGGTGAGCCCCGAAGTTGTGCAGTTGAGTGTGTTAGGGGTCGTTCACACCCCAAAGGCTGAACCAGCCCCGTCGGAGGACCCCCTATCCTGGGGTAGAAGATCCCCGTTGGAGGTCGGACCGCCCCCACTTCCTCCTCCTCCTCTCCCCCCGGGACTTGCCCAAAGCTCGAGTTTGGTAGTCAGCCAAGGCAACGCTTCGGGAAATCAACTCCTCAACCTGGGGAGCACTCCCTTTACAGTAACGAGCCAGCTTTTCCCTTCCGTCACTGCAAGTCACGGGCAAGTGGGTCTTCAGGCCATCGGGCAAGAAGGTAGTACCGCCCTCCCCGATCTCGGATTGGGCCAGGGTCTCCTCAGGAAGGCAGGAGCGGCCTTCGGAGAGCAGCTTGGCCCCGGTCCTACCACCCTGGCCACCGACCGGATTATCCACGCCATCGACGGACTCCGGAAGGTCCAAGACGAAGACAAAACCGGGACCAAAGGTCAAGTTAGCTCCTTGATGGGCTTGATTAAGTGGCCCGTCCTCATCACCAATCGCGTCGCTCTCGCGGTGTCGGGTCTTTGGTGGGGGGGCACCGAATCGTTCACGCTTCAGGCCTCCGATTGTGTTACCGCACGGGTCGAGCAGCTGGAGAACTGGAGTCCTCCCACGGAACACAAAATTGAAGCTCGCACAAAGTCCCCTAGCACATTCCTTACGTGGCTGCGACACGCTGAGAATGCGGTCAAAGTGTTTGGCAGTGCTTATGGGCTCGAGCATGTGCAAGAGCGTATGAAGTTCCTTCAAGCTCTCAGGGAAGCCCATGAGGAGGACGAGAATGCCTTTCCTTTCACCTACTGCGTGCAATTCTTTGAGGAAATGACCGCCGTCTGGTGCGAAGAAGTGCGTGAGAAACGCCGCATTCTCTGCTCAAGACTGGGGACCGAGAACCCACGGCTTGAGGACCTCAAGCTGTTGGCCCTTTCCCCGGAAGCAGATGGGCTCCCAAACTTTCAGTTCCCCAGGGTGTGGGATCTGGGTGACCCACGAGGTTACGATCAGAGGGTTGTTCTTCCGAGACAGAAGAAAGCGATGGCTAGGCTCCTCAATAAGCAGCTCCACGAGCATGTCACCCCGGAGCGCAAACCTGACCACAGGAAAACCGCTGGACCCACTGATCCCGAACCTTCTGTTCCGCCCGACGAGTCTGATAAGGCTGGGAAAGGTCCCAGGCTCAAACCAGAGCCCTTGAAGACTGGTGAAGGAAACAAGGCCTATCCGGCCGGGAAGAGGCTCACTCCACTGAAGTGAAGCGGTCTGTGGCCCACGCCCCCCAGTGCTCCAAGACCAAGAAGCCCATTTGCTGGGACGCGGCGTGCCATATCGGATGCCAGCGCACGGCCTGCCCGCATGCTCATGAGCCCCTGCCACCACTCGCGAAGCTTGACTACACTGTCGCCATGCAAGTGCTGCGACGAGGTGGGCTGAGGAACGGCCCCAAAGTCAATCCCAACGAGGTGGATGGGAGGCTGTCTCAACTGAGAGCACAAGCAAAGGAAGAGCAGGCTGCAAAGATTGCTCCAGGCGACACCGCCCGAGGAAAAAGCGAAAGCCAAGCCGAAGGCCAAGGACAAGGCTGGGTGAGGATTACCAAGGTCCGGTCACCGCAATGGAAGCCGAGTTAGGAGAATTGGCGCAAGGCCCGGACTATGCTTGGCACCAAAGGTTCTCGACCACTGCAGAACCGACCTCGGTCCAAAGCACCGACGAAGAGGCCTCCCGACGCGCTCTCTGTACGAGACAATCGTTTCGTCAGGAGTCCTCCTCCCGTTGAAGGGCTGCATCGACCATTTGCACTCCCATGTGGCTGCACACTTTGTGAACGCTGCAATGGCGCAGAAGCAATTGGACCTCCCGACCATTTTGGTTGAGGCGGTTGATTACGGACACCCCCAGTTGGCAGAAGAGGCTCAGAGTACTTGGAGTCTCTCGGAGGCAAGGCGGGTCTCCCACCCCCTCGACCAGAAGCTCAGTTTGAAGCCTTGACATGGGACAACGAGGTTGGGAAAACCCAGCTAGTCTTCGAGGACCCTTGGTGGGAAGGCGTTCCGCCCTTGCCCGTGGTGGACGTACAGGACAAGCTCGAACTGAATGAGGGTCTGCATGCCTTAATGACCCCGACTTCAGGGACAGTAGAATCGAGGCAGTGCCTTTGCTTACATGTCGCCTTAGTGTACACACATGATTTGCAGACCTGCCAGATCACTGCCGCCGAATTGCGACGAGAACTATGGGAGTCTAGCAGTCAGGCTTTCCAGCATCTAGGCGATGCCGGAACGTACATCAGCTCTGCCAAGGCTTTCGTGCGGCATAACGCCCACGATTGCATCTATCTGGACCACGAGAAAGACTTCCGAGTGCTCCAGCTTTTTGCCCCTTCCTTCATGAGGGGTAAGCGCTTATTGGTCCTTCGGCTCTCTCATAAGGGAGCGGTGGAGATAGATATGGTCAACGGCGAAGGTCCAATCCTCAGCACCGGGGCAGTGGTGATCCATAGAGGGCAGTGGTGATCACAGAGGGCCTGTGCGGACTGTTTTATGTGGGGTAGCAGTCCTCGAGCAACTGGTGAATACCGCCCAGGACGGGGCCCGTGTGGCCCGCGAGCTTGAGGCAACGGGTTGGGAGCCTTTCTGGAAGCCCAAGAGGCGGAAGGGGAAATTATCCCCTCTAAACCTCATTCTTGTTACCGTTGTCGTCGGCCGCAGACCCCGTGCAAGGCAGGGAATGAAGAGGACGACCTGGGCGACCCCGCTCGTCCTCCGCCGGAATCGCTAGCCATTCCACGGGAGAGACATGAGCCTCTGCCTGAGGGCCTGCCCCTCCCACCCTCCCTGGAGGGGGGCGGGACTGTCCCAAAAATCGCTGAGGAAGCTAGCGAAGGACGTGTTGAGAGGGTATACCAAAGCGGTTGAGTACCTTGAGCACTGCCAGGCACCTTTCTCGGTTGACAAAGCTATGGAAAGCTGGCAGGTTAGGAGCAGAGTTGGTGATAGCAGCTGGCACAGTACAGGAGGCGGTCGAAGCTCTGAATTCGGCCCGCACAGCTAGGTTAGGAGACCACCTGGAAGGTGCGAAACGAGGCCTGTTTAAAGGCGTGTCCGCCCTGCATAGGGAGTACCTCCGACTAAGTGCGGACCGAGCCGTAGGGAGGCTCCTCTCCGGAGAGAGGAAGCTAAGAACCACG